TTACTAAGTTATATTTAAAAAGTTAATCCAAATGCTCATTTATTTTCTCCATCTCATAATAATAGATGTTTTTATAGTATTTTTATTTTTAGATTAAGGATTTATAGATAATTTTTATTTTGACTTATTTTATTTTTAAAAAATAAAAAGACTTTTTATGCTATGAAAAATAATTAAAGTCAAATAATAATAATATTATTAATGTAGGAAAAAAAATATTGTCTCCTTAAAATAAAAATAAAAAACTAGTATTCTGAAATAAATATTAAATAAAAAATATCTATTATTTTAGAATGAACTAAGTACAAGATAAACACATCTAAAAAAAAAATTTTTTTTTTTTTTTTTTTTTTTGGCAAACATCAGATAGATTGTAAGTGAAATTAAAACCTTAGTACATTAAAAAAAAAAATTAATGTTATTTTAGTTTCAACTTTATAAGTATGTATATTTAGATTTTGTTCAATTGTGTGAAATAGGGTAATCAAACTAAAAAAATATGAACCTATATAATGTTGATTTATTTGTTAGTGTATATCTTATATATATTCTAAATTAATGTTTGTTTGTCTTTTAATTAATCAAAGTAGTTCTTAGAATCTACATCAAAATTTCAACTTTTTCTATATCTACTATTGAGAATTGTTAAACCAAACTTTGATTAGTATACCAAGCTTGAAATAATGAGGTGCAAAATTAAGAATGTAGAGACAGTGTTTGTTAAACGTCCATTTCATGTAAACCTAATTAATATAGTGAACCATTAGTATATCAATATATGTCATTAAGCTCCTTGTTTCGTTAACTTTGCCATACCTCTTCATCAATGAAATTTCTTCTGCATACGTCCACAAAAGACTCAAAAATGAAGAGTAAATTAATGTACTTGGATGGAATTTTGGGTGATATCGATCCTTTCTTTATCTTCTCATTTTTCCCTTGTTTTTTTTTTTTTTTCCAAATGAGAAAAGAACTTTTTTTATGACTTCTTGTTGGTTCCTAGTTTATACTCTCTGCATTCAAATAACTATTATTTTTTATGAAGAAGGTTAGTGAAGTAATTAATTAAATTATTAATGTAAAAATATTTTTTATTTATATAATTAGGGCTTAAATTTTTATTTTTTCTCCTTGTCTTTTTCTTTCTAAAGAATTTTAATTGGTTAACATGCCTCATAAAAAATTATTATTTTTAATTTTTTCTTTAAATTAAAGACTTAATAATAATTTATATTTATTTATATTATTTAAAAAATATAAAAATATAAAGTCAAATATTTTTGTGTTAAAATAAGTAATCAAAATAAATAAATAATGATATGATTAAAATAAAAATATTTGTTTATCTTAAAAAATAAAAAAATTAATAATTAATATAGATTAAATTTAAAATTAAGAAAATAATTTATTTATGTGTTTTAAAAAATAGTGTACTAAATTATATAGATAATTCATTTTTTAATTAGGAAGAGAAATGAAAAATGAAAATTGAGGAGAAAAGGTGTAAAGGAACAAGAAAACCATCAATTCAAGGATACATGAGGTGAAATTGAAAAGATGGCTAATAGACATTGAAATTTCCAAATGTCTCAAAAGCTTTGGGCGGCATTTCTCGTTTGATAAAGTTGGATTAATCATTAATATTTTTTTTGTACCTGGATTAATCATTAATATTAATAAAACGGGACTATCAAAATCCTAATAATAGAAACAGACAGTAATTTAATTAAATTATAGAACAATGATCCCATGCTCTAGTTTATTGGTTTAAGATTTTAAATTAATGTAAATTATCTCTTGTGAGTTATAGTGTATGAATCTTATGAATCTTTTTATTTTCTTTAATTTTTATTTATTTAATATGTATTAATTTTTTCATTAAAAAAATAAAAATAGACGCATATAATAAGAATATCTTTGAATTTACTGTTTAAATTTTGATATAATTTAGTGTTTAAATTTTTAAATGCATTAATATGTAAATGGGTTAGTGCTTATTCATTTTAATTCTTAAAAATACGTAATTTTAATAAAAAATATTTTTTGAGTTTAATGGTAAAATTTTTTGATATATCTGCTAATAATAGGTTATATAAGAGAAAATAAATTTTTTTTCTTAAATCTCTTTTTATCTAACTTCAAACTTAAATTTAAGATTTTTAATTTAAAATTTAAAATTTTTAATTATTGAATTATTTCATTGGGAGTTAAAAAAAATTTTAAATTAATATTTTTAAATAAAAGAATTAAAATTTTGTCACTTTAATTAAAAATGTATATAATTTAACTTTTTTTTAACCAATAAAAAATTTAAAAAATGAAAGAATAGTTATAAGACTGCTGCACTGACAGCTTGAATCCTTGACAAAGATGCCAAGAGTGTTGCTGCACTTTCATCGCGGCTAATGCCGCAAGTGTTATATAATTTAATTTTTAAATTAAAAAAATAATAAACTTTATATCTTAATTTGTATTTGAAGATGTTAGCCTTGAGACATTATCATTGCATCCGATGAAACAAATGTATCTTCTGAGATGGGCCCCG